TAGTAGTAGTAGTAGTAGTAGTAGTAGTAGTAGTAGTAGTAGTAGTAGTGCTCGCCGTCATCGTCATCCTCGTCGGAGTGCCAGCAGCAGCAGCAGCAGCAGTAGGAGTCGCAGGAGAGGTAGAAGCGGTTGCGGTCGTTCGTCGGCATTGCAGCAAGAGGAGGAGTAGCAAGAGCATGAGCAGTGAAAGCAATAAGAATTGCAGGTGCTGGTAGCAAGATATCATGTTTGTGGGAGTGTATCTGTGGGGAGCTTTGCACCACTTAGTCATTGTGTTGTGGCACTGCACACAGCCTCCAACAGTGGAAGCCACTTATCAGTTGTTCACCTGTCTGTGTAGCACTGCAGGCCCTACGTTCAACCATAATCACCCACAAGAATTCTTGCCAGAGTTCCTCCCTACAGAACGAATCACCGCGCATCACAATGCTAAACGAACGATTCTGACAATAAGAATTCTCACTCATCACACCGTCAACATTCTACTTCATTACATCACGACTTAACCATTTCACAAATCATGCACACCGCACAGTACCAACAGTAGACTTCACCACACCAGCTACAACATCACCGCAGTACACTTCCCGACATGAATATCAGCATGTTACTTCATCATAGCTTTCCACAGGTTCATCGTTTCCCAAGAGACTGTTGGTACGAGCAGGAAGCAATCATTCCTGACCTAAGTCCTTCCGTGCGTACTATGTAATCAAAGGAGATGACAACGCTAACAGGCGGAAGTCATGAAACCAAATGAGTGGCTCTCCCAAGCTTCAGCGCCACGCTGATCAGGCATCATGCTGATTTGGCACATCAAAATGACTATATAAAATAGCAGCTGCACGCACAATTGTCACACGCCAGCCAAATGATAGACAATGTGCATCAAGTGCTACACAAACAAGGCCACGGGCTCGTATACAAAGGTTCATGCCAGCAAGAAAAGGAACGCATTTGCGAGATTATGAAGAATGGGATTTGGATTGGCATTATATTTGAGCATTTTGCACTCAGAAGTTTACGCATGCTGCCGACCAGCCCAGTCCAACCTGCGTGATGGAGGATCCACTGGGAGGAACTGGCGCGGTACTGGGCCCAGCAGACTCCTGGCAAACGGATTCGTATGGAACCCCTGATCCGGTTGGCAAGGTCAACGATAGAGAAGTTGGTTGTTTGAATGCGTTGTTCTAAGCCCCGACTTCAAAGCCAAGGACGAAGTCAAAGACTGCAAGCATGTGTTGAACAGTCCCATTCCGAGAGCTTCAGGAACTCTGAAGCTGGGTTGCAGAAGAATGTGTGTGTGTGTGTGACTGTCTGAAGTAATGACATGGTTTAAGGAAAAAAAGTGTTGTGTCTCTCACATGGTGGCCTTCAAGTCTTGCAAAACAAAAGATCTGAAGAGATGAGGGAGGCAGTCATGAGTCATGGGTGAGCTTGATGGGAAAAAACAAAAAAACACAACTATATAAAGGGCATCTCAAAGCCAGCAAAACACGGAGTCCTCGTCTGACGGTGGTGGAGAATGTCCTCTGTCTCCTCCCATGTTCCCTTTGCTCCAAGCGTCCACTCGGTCGTGGGAGTGGTGCTCCAAAACCTGCCAGGAGCCCCTAGTAGCGTCCGTGCCCCTAGCAGTAAGACCAGGAGCTCCTAGTAGCTTCTTGTTACTAGTAGTAAGAATGCTACCAGTAGCAATGCCAGGAGCCCCTAGTAGCGTCCTTGCTCCTAGTAGTAAGGCCAGGAACCCTTAGTAGCTTCTTGTTACTATATAGTAGTAAGAATGCTACTAGTAGTAATGCCAGGAGCCCCTAGTAGCGTCCTTGCCCCGAGTAGTATGGCCAGGAACCCTTAGTAGCTTCTTGTTACTAGTAGTAAGAATGCTACTAGTAGTAGTGCCAGGAGCCCCTAGTAGCGTCCTTGCTCCGAGTAGTATGGCCAGGAGCTCCTAGTAGCTTCTTGTTCCTAGTAGTAAGAATGCTACTAGTAGTAATGCCAGGAGCCCCGAGTAGCGTCCTTGCTCCGAGTAAGGCCAGGAGCCCGTAGTAGCTTCTTGTCACTAGTAGTAAGGCCAGGAGTCTCTAGTAGCTTCTTGTTACTAGTAGGAAGAATGCTACTAGTAGTAATGCCAGGAGCCCCTAGTAGCATCCTTGCTCCTTGTAGTAAGGCCAGGAGCCCCTAGTAGCTTCTTGTTACTCGTAATGCCAGGAGCTACTAGTGACTTCCTGTTGGTAGTAAGGTGCCTTGCTGCAAGTAGCTATTTGCTACTAGTAGTATGGTGCCTTGTTACCAGCATAGGCCCTCTTTTTTGCATCAATTCCTTGAACTCCAATGTTGGTGGAAACAGCCTCCATCTGTTTGGGAGCGAACAAAGGCAAGGCAACAGAATGTCATCGCAAGATACAGTCCTCATCGCAGATGAAAAAATGCCTCTCCAACGGCTCCCGCCTCTTGCAAGTTTCCTTCTGGTGCAACATCCACCTTGCCAACTGGCAATACGCCTTTTCCACCTTTGAAAAAACCGACAGCTTCATGTACAGGCGCCTGGCATGAAGAAGTCAAACAGTTGTGGACTTCAAAAGCGTGCAGACTCATCAACTCGATTCAACTCGTACAAAGCCCAGCTCAGCCTGAAAGGAGTTCTTTCCACCTTTGCCCTGGCCGAGGTTGGGAACACTTCTGGCACAAATCAAACTGATTCTCTTCTGAATTGGTCCCAAGCAGTTCACTGTGCCGGCTCATGGTGTGTCTTCTGGTTGCAGCGGTAAAACGGTAAAATGCCGGGGACACACAAGCACGGGGATAAAAGGGTAAAAAGGAAAAATCCCGAGGTGGCAAAAGCGAGGAGTCCAACGGCAAAGCGGAAAATGTGTGAATTTAGCGATTTTCTGACGGTCAGCCAAACTCATGAGTCAGAAAGTCTCACATGACATAGCGAACAAAAAAAACAATGCGAGCCAGTCTTGATTTGTCCACTGTAGAGCCAAAGCTGTTCAAAGCAAGAGTCTATCTGCCTTTGGTTAAGATCTAAAAGTCCACAGTTGTAGGCTTGACAATGCGCAGGCCCTGAATCGGCTGAAAATGCTTGGATTGAGTGATGCACGGATGCATTTTGGTGCTCTAGTACTGCTTTTTGCGGCCACGTGCGCACTGTTTCCTTGTCTGTAGCGTTACCGACAGGCTTGATTACATAGGAAATGTACATGCGCATGCTGCTCAGTCGTGTTTGCTGGCTGG